TATATATTATTATTAGTTTATTAGTAGTTAAATTAAGCTAATATATTATTTTTATTAATATTAATAGTAGTAATAATATATTATAGCTCTAATAGACTACTAAAATTTTTAATTTTATTTAGTACTAGTAGAATATTTTATTTTTATAATAAAATATAGTACTCTAATAAGCTTTAATATAGAACTTCTAGTATTAAATTAAAATAATACTATATTAATATATAATACTATAAAATACTAATATATTATAGTACTAACTTATATTAATTCTAAATAGTATTAATTTATTATAGTATTAAATATTTTTAATATTAAAAAGTTATCTATATATAAATTAGTAGAAATATATATATTTAATTAGAATATTTTAGAATATCTTTAGTATTTCTATAGTTCCTTAATAAATTAGTACTTTTTTAAATTATAGTTTTGGAATAATTTTTCCACCATTCTGAAAAACCCCCAGACGGCCCTATGGTAGCTTCCACCTGCAACCTTATTCGATGAGAGCCGCTGAAAAAGCTCACACTTCCCGTTCCACCAACCAAAGATGGCCAGGGATAGCCATTTTCTTTCACCATGCCATCTTCCTCCTTCGATTACTATTTATTTTACCTAAAATAATGCGTTGTGGTATTATTTATCGCGTATTAGAGTGGGAGGGTGGTATAGCTGGTACTTCTGATGAGGTACCAGTGGGTGGGGACCGATCGATGAGTTCTGTCCACCGACTGTATCTTTCCAATGGCACCAAAGAAGTACGAGACCCCTGCTTTACTCTCAAGTAAGGAAGGGCGAATCCTTGAGACTTATGTCCATGCAATCAAAAAATACCCGTTACCAAATGACCCCGTGATACCTGAGGAAATCGATATATTTTTTAAGAAAAGTCTTCAGTGACTGGACAAGCGGTGATAAACTACATTCGAAGCCCGATACAAAGGGGGCGAAAGGAAATTTCCACGATACTGCCGTCCGTATGGGCACACTTACCCGCGACCTACCTTCGAGCGAGGCTACCAAAGCAGCCCGGAAAAACCAAACCCAATATAAAATTAAAAAGGCCGACAAGACAAGGGGGTTAGAATAATCTGGCCCGCCGAGCAGGGTCCCCCGTTTATATCCGCGCTCTTCAAAGTAAAAGTTCTACTGCGATTACATTCTCCTATATAGATGGGAATCGTCGGATAATCTCAGACGCAAATAGCTTTTTCAAACGAGATGATTACCGTACTAAGACAGATATGTACCTGCAAGCTACGAAACGGCGTGATAACTTCACTATACGTAAGGTGCATGCCTTCAATATCGATCTTGCTATTTACTTCGCACGGAACAGAATTCTACAGTGGGCAGAGGGTCATGCGATCCGCCCTCCGCCGGCTCAGTCAGAAAATCTTAGCCAACTCATGGCATTCCAACTCTGTCGCAATGATATACCATCGACTGGGCCTATTGGAGATGCTCTTACAATTCTTCGCAGCCGTCCAAAATTATCCCTCTTCCCGGTATAGGCTTCATTATACTAGTTGATCTTGCGCGATGAATCTTTCAATAGATTTTTAACACCACTTCATATATGTATTTTCACTAGTTGCAGAGTAGTTAACGTTGTATAACTAATTCCCCAGAGAATTTTAATTAGTTGAGCTGTGGACTAACTAACTATAACTGAGAACTCTGTATAATAGCAAATCGTCCATAGACATCGCGGAATCAGTTTATATACAACCCCGATGGTACACTTGCAAACCCACAACAGTACACAGAATCAGGTAATGCCTCTAGGGATCCAACAGAAGACGTCTGATATCGTGTCAGTTTTTGTATTAGTCATCTTATCTCGCTACACCTTGCTTTAGCACATTCGATAGATCCTCAATATCATCATCCTCTTTTCTGGCATATCGTTACTCTCCTTGCCTTATCCTTGTGAGCTACTCCTGGCCACTCCCGTGTCTTTTACTCCATACGGTTAGTTTCTTTGTAGTAATGTCCTCCCGCGCTCATAATTTCACCCTCTTTTAAGGCTGTTATCCACTTTGATATTGTTATTATCCAAGACAGGAGCAAAAGGTGTCTAACGGAAGTACTTAGTTAATTATCTCCAGTTTTTCGTCTCAAGTTAAGTCTATTTAGTAGATTAACTAGCTCCGTGCAAACTTTCCTATGAGTGTCTTTTTCCAACGTTTACTACAGACTCTTGACCAATCTCTCCCTGCCCAAAACCTGTGCCATCTGGGCTGTCTACCCAAAGAAAGGCTTCGAATAGGAACATTAAATGGGCCCGCTTGATCCTTCGGATCCTTCCTGCATGACACATCCCTGCATTGCGCCAAGAGTACTCCGTAGTGAGGGGATGGGACGGGAAGCCCTGGTCCCTCTAACCTTAGAGGGGCTGCCGGAGCAAGAAGAATAAATATGACGGATGATGACACAGATCCAGGGAGCAGATACTTATATCTTATTGTCAGGGATGGTATCCCCGCTGCCTGAAGGTGACACAGCTATTCTGGGAAGAAATTCAACCAGAGACACAGCAGCCTCAGCACAATGGAAGCCGCTGCGAGTGCGATCGGTCTGATCCAGGTGACTACTCATGTGCTGCATCTCACAGTCAAGTTCTACTTCGAGGTTAGGGATGCCCGCAAGGAAATAAAATCGCTCGAGGGTGAAATCAGCGATCTTCAGGGCACGCTGCGCAAGATAGTCGACCTGGCCGAAGATACCAGCGACCCTGAGGCGATCAAGCGTTTACCAGCCTTTGCGTTACTCCTGGGAGAAGATGGTGCGCTGGCCAGATGCCAGGCGGAGCTCCTAGAGCTGGCCGGTAAGCTGGAAAAGGCCGGTGGCGCTGGTAGCGGTAAAGATGAAACTCTCCTGCAGAAGAAGAACCCGATGAGACAGTTTGGTGTCCGGGCCTTGAAGTGGCCGTTTACCAGCAAGGAGATCAAAAGCAGCATTGCAGTTCTTGAACGGTGCAAGGCCAGCTTCAACCTCGCCTTGACCGCAGACCAGACCAAGTTGACTCTTGACACCAATCGCCTTGTCGTCGAGCTGGGAAAGGACATAACCGCCAGCCGAAACGAGCAGCAAAAGGGGGAATATCGTTCAAAAATCATCCAATGGCTCTCGGCTGTCGAGCAAGGCATAACCTGGTCTAATCATGAAGATGCACGGAAGAAGCACTCTCAGGGAACCGGAGAGTGGGCGCTGGAGCTTCAGGCATTCAAGGAGTGGAAGAGCACCGGCCCTGCCATCCTTTGGATGCATGGGAAGCCTGGAAGTGGGAAGACAGTGCTGAGTTCGTCTGTCATCGAACATCTGCAAGCAGAGTACGACTCTGAGGCCAATACTCTCCTGTCATACTTTTATTTCGATTTTGGCACGCCCGCGAAGCAAAGCGCCACAAACTGCCTACGGTACCTGCTCTCACGGCTACTTACCAAAGCACCGGAGGTACCGCAGGAGCTCAGAGACCTCTATGTGAAAAAGTGCAACTTTGGCAGCGAAACTCCAGCACTATCGGACTTGATCTCTATTTTCAAACTTTTTGCAGAATCTGAAGCTATTGAAAATATTTTCATTACTATCGATGCCCTCGATGAATGCCCCCTGGATAATAGACAGGAACTACTAGATTTTCTCACAACTATATCTTCATGGACGCCTTCAAACCTACATGTATTTCTTACAAGCAGACCCGAGAGTGACATTAGAGAAGCCCTTTCTCCTATTTCAATCGTCACTGCGGTCTCTGTCGGTGGCTCCTCTGTCACACAAGATATCACGTATCACATACAGTCACAGCTCTCCTCTGATCCAGCGCTAAAGAAACTGCCAGCGAAGCTGAAATCACAGATCCAGAGCAAGCTAATCGCTGATGCTGATGGGATGTAAGTAGATCATCCTCCTTTCCCATAGTTAACTGCCCGCCCAGAAGACAATAATAATGTTATTGGACGATAGGTTTCGGTGGGTAGATTGCCAACTTAGTGAATTGAAAAGATGCAAGACAAAAGCGCTTTTGATAAAAACTCTCGAATCGCTTCCAAAGACCTTAGATGGTACCTATGAGCGAATACTCCAGAGTATCCCTACAAACTACCAGGATTATGCGCGCCGTGCACTGTGGTGGCTCGTAGAAGCGCGGAGGCCGCTAAGCGCAGAGGAACTCGCCGAAGCAGCCATTCTTGATGCTGACGAAGATACCCCATTCGATCCGGAAGGCCGTTTTTTCAACCCACAGGATGACATTTTAGAGATACTAGGAAGCCTTGTATCGGTAGCTGAAAGAGAACACGAAGTTACAGACGTGAACGACGAAAGCAACAGCAGGGCTACAGCAACTACAGTGAATGAAACATTCAACGAACTCCGTCTATCCCACTTTTCTGTTAAAGAGTATTTGATCTCAACGCACCCATTGAACTGCCAGAACCCCTTAGTTGCCCAGTTCTATGTTGATAAATCTCTTGTTTCTAGCTTCATTCTCCGAAGCTGCCTTCTATACATATCTCACTACATAGGTTCAGACTATAGAGCTGGCGCGAGGGATGACGTGGACGAATTTCCCCTGCTCCTCTATGTATGCGAATTTTGGTTCGCGTATGCAGGACTGCCGCTCGATAACAAAAGTTCTGGGCTATTGAATGATTTCTTCGCCTCAGAGACGCAGGTACAAGCATGGCTGCTTGTTCATACTCCAAACCAACCAAGAAAGGATCTTTTCCAGCCGCCTGATGAGCCAGGCCAGGCTCTTCACCATGCATGCTACCTTGGCTTAACTGGCACTGCCAAGTACTTAATAGAGAATGGTGCCACCGTCGACTGCACCACGGAGAGCGGAGTGACCCCCTTAATTCGAGCAGCTGAGGTACGTTTAATCTCCATATCGCCATAGTATTTCATATGATTTTTGTTAATGCTTTGCTACTAGAGAGGCCATGTAGATATTATAGATCTTCTCCTCAACTTTGACTCAAATGTCGATCATTCGACTAGGGGGGGCCGGACCCCGCTTCAAGTAGCGTGTAGCCGTGGGCATATAAAAGTCGTGGAAAGACTTCTCATTTCCAAGGCGGATGTAGAGTCGAAAGATGTGGATCTTTGGACTCCGCTATACTGGGCTGCGGAGGGTCGACATGAAGACATTGTCAGTCTCCTCCTCAAGCAGGGGGCCGACCCAAATGCAAGGACCATGAGTGGAGGGACTGCACTTCACCAAGTATGCGGCAGAGGATATGACGAAATTGCGCGGCATTTGCTGGATTCTGGCGCAGAGGTGGACGTTGCAACCAGCTGGGGTCGGACTCCATTGCACCAAGCTGCCGCTGGTGGATCGCTGGAAGTTGTGAAGCTTTTATTAGCCTATGGAGCAGACCCGAATGTCCTAGACAGGTCCTATAGTTCTCCTGTTTCTTTAGCAGAGGAAAACCTGCACCACGAGATTGTTGACGTGCTGCGACCTCTTACGAATTTGAAAGACCCGCTTGACAGTTCTGAAGAGTAAAAACACTGTCAAATATCATGTAGTATCTATCCATACAGAATTCTTCTCTAATGAAATCAGGTTCTGAAACTACTTTCCGCTATTTCCTTCTTAAATAGTAATGGAAATGAACGCCATTGTTGCTTGAAGAGCGAATTGAGAAAACTAATATACGGTGTCTATGTATAGGCTTCTCCGTATGAACCAGATGTATCCGTTCATAGTCTGTTCCAGCTGCAGTCCAAGCTTCGTTGCTCTGTTGTTGTTATCGAGTACGAATTCTGCTTTAATAGGGAATATGTCGTTTCCGTGGACCTCTGTGACATACACTATATATTTCACCTGCTCACGTATGTGCTTGAAAGCAAGCGTAAACGGCGTTGTTCGATCAGTACAATCAATAAACAATTGATCACCTCTGTTTTCTACCTTGATCCCGCGGTAACCCTGGTTCCAATATAGCCCTGTGTAGGAGTCCAATGGTATTTCCTGGGGCTGAGACCGGAGCCCGTTTATATCAGGACAAAGCTCTTGTATAAGTTCCTCCTCTGTTTGGATATCATCATCATAAAGGTCATCAGGGTCGTCAGTGTCAAAGTCTAGACCCCAATCTGGCTCAAAGCTGGGCTGGAGTTTTCCATTTATGCAAGCTAAACCCCCTTGTCGCTCGAGTATTGCTTGGTCCAGCAGGCGGTACTTCACCAAGCTTATCACATTATGAGCGTGGTCCGCGTTACAGAAGATAAACGCTCCAAATTTCAGTCCTGGAACGAAAAAATTATCGCACGATGATCCAGCCTCTCCACCCTCATGAGACACAATAGTATATCCAGAATAGTCTTGAATTTGCCAGCCAAGTCCATAAAAAGACGGATTCTCTGAATATTGATCTTTTGATGCATCCTCCAACACTCGTTTCTTAGTCAGGAGGTTGTAAACGTCTTCAGTTATTGGCCCTTCTCGGTTTATCATAGCTTTGATCCATTTAGCGTGATCGCTGGCGGTTGTGATCAGTTGTCCGGCGCCTTGGGATTCTGGACGGTCCAGGAAGGGAGATGATTTGAACGTCTTTGCATTTTTATCCCATAGATATCCAACTGAAATGTTCTGCCCTTTCGTTTTAGCTAGCGCACGCCACGGCTGGACACTAGTGGACTCCATTTTAAGTGGTAGGAATATCCGCTTCTCCAGGAAGTCTGCAAAGCTATCTCCAGTAACATGTTCCACTAGGTAGGAGGCAACAGTATACATCGTATTGGAATATACAAATCCACTTCTGTTAGCCCCTATGGTGGGCAGATTTCGCAAATTTCTTGTAATTGAGCGAGGGTCATCCGGCTGCTCTGCGCTGGGACCAAACACGGAGAACTCATGCCTATAAACAGACAACGATTAATTCCCAGAAATTGAAGCGATGAAGATTGGAGACTCCTTACGTCGGCATACCAGTCTGGTGGGTTAATATATCCTCCACAGTGACATCCCGGTGGTTTTCACCAGACATAACAAAATCATCAGGTAGAAGGCTCGACATAAGAGTATCATACTGAACCTGAGGATAATTTACATTGTCCTGAACTAGGAGTGTAACTGCTGCAGCGGTGAGAGATTTGGAAATAGAGCCGATGCCAACGAGTGTGTCAGGGGTAAAGTTTGTTGATGGATCTAAACTTGACTTGCCGAATGCTCCAGATGCGATAGTACGATCCTGTACAATGGAGATAGAGATGCCTGGAATTTTGTGAGAGCAGAGGGCCTTCTTGATATAATCTGAGAACTGGGATCGCCGGAAGAGGTCCATTTCCGTTACTCCGTATTAATACTCCCAAACTGACAGGCTTGACGTTAGGAGTCTCTGGGAGATCATATGCTCTTGTGGATAGGAGTCACAGATTTTTTTAAGAACTAGCTAACCCACCATCATCCTATAAATGAAGAATGCAAAAGAAAGAGAAAGAGAAAACAAAAGGAATTATTGCTCAATGCAGATCACCCTATCCTTCTTGGCCCGAAAAGAAATATTACAACGCCACTGGAGGATTTAGCAAGGCCCAGATAACTCCGATTGACCCAATGATTACGGAGTATTAGTCGTAAAGAAATGGGGCCAGGATCATGCAGTCAGAGCGAGGTGAAGAATCTATTTTTAGAGGAATAGAAAAGACCTTACTTTAGTAAGGGAGACCGACAGAGTACCACGTAGCTAGCCTGCTTTATGAAGATGGGTAGCAACGGTACAACGAATCGTTGCAAGGTATGTGGCTATAGCATATGTCCGTGCGGACTATGAGCTGGACAAAGGGTATAAGTCGTACAGAGTACTCCGTACAACATCCACAACCCAGACAGTTATTCTCCATATGTTAGCCTTCAAAAGCCACTTCCTAGAAGCGAATAAGAATTAAATGGACGTAAGTTTCTCATGGGCGAGAAGTGAGAGGATAGATAGCTAACCAGCTTCTTTTCCTTAGATCTGCTTATGGGGCGTCATTATGGGAGTTGTACCGATGACGGGTATAAAAGGTGCCTGGAAGAAAGCACTGGGTTCGAGGCCTGCGTTACATAGTCCGACTAACCCCACTATTGCTGATAACACATCTCCATTATTATAATCAATGAGTATTCTCCCTTGGGACTCCTCAAGTTAACTCAAGTAAATATAAGGTGCTTAAAGCGCCTGCGTCCGTAGCATAGAGTCCTGAATAGCTGAAAAAAGGAAGGGGTGGAGGGGGCAATGGCTTATTCCGATGTCGACAAGTGATTCCTATTTATTAGTTATTAGAATGGGGATCAGCGCAATGTGACAGAACTTACGGAGTACAGAGTACCACTTCTCGTGTTTCGAACTTTCGCTGCACAACGTGTCGGCGCGCCTTCACGTTACGGAATTTTATGGCTATGGTGTAACTGATGAAGGGGACGAAGACTTGCACATCTAGATATACCAGCGCTGGTGGGACGAGCACGACAACACAAGTGGTAAAAGACCACTTCCGGGTTGTTCGTCAACTGTTTTTCGTATAAGCCCCTCGTCGGCTGATGTGGAAATGTTGGGGTCGTGTCGCTCCGCCAAGCCGGAAGTGAAAGAAGAAAAGAAGGTTAGTTTGTGTGGCCGTGCACTTCCTTCAAACGCGCGGCTGAGGAAGGCTACGCTAGGCCCAATGTAGCAATACCTGGCGCCGTTGACGATCTGCAGCCGCCGAAGGAAGCGCCAAGACGCTGTCTCAGCTTCTCCCCGCGCTCCGCCTTGGTAACTAGTGATTCATGCATCGTCATAGGAAGCAGGTGTATGCAACTTCAAACATGAACTTAGCGTTTCTGGCAGTATGTACCGCCATCCATATCGCGCTCGTGCTTACCATTCCCCGTATAATAGCATAGCCTTACGCAGATTACGAGCCGATAATCCTTTGGTTAGTTATGGAGCACCAGAAGCAGGAGCAGATACCCATCACAGCCTACCGCATTTTATGTCTAGTACCTGGATCTGCGTGAAGCAGTTTGGCTGTCAACTACGCTTACTGGAGGTTACTAAAAGAATGTTTAGCTATTTAATAGGGCTATCTGCCCTTCCAAAATGTGCTCATTTCGTCCTTATTCAAGCACACGAAATTTCCATCTGTTACCTGTCCCATCTCTACTCCTACCAACTCAGCGAGCACTATGCTTTTATCCCGCACCTTCCTTTCTATTTGCTTCCTCGCCCGTGGCCTTGCCTCGCCTGTGACCACCTCAGGCCGCAATCAATCAGAGGGGAAAATCTCCTGGGGCCCGTGTGATATTAACGCCACTCTGCCTATTCAATGCGGTAGCCTAGGTGTCCCACTCGACTATACCGACTCAAAATCAAATGCTACCCTTAACCTTCAACTGCTGAAGGTCCCTGCCATCAATGGCGCTAGCAAAGGAAGCATTCTATTCAACTTTGGCGGCCCGGGTTTTGGAGCTAGGGCAAAGCTAGCGGGTGCAGCTAAGATCCTTCAAACGTTAGACCGAATCAAATAAACTTCTTGACTCGAAAGTGCTTTCTAATTCCATATCACAGCTTGACGGGCGGGCATCATGATCTTATTGCCCACGACCCACGGTATGTGATCAGCGTTAGGTTAACCTCTGTTTACGTAGATTTGTGCCGCTAATTTCCAACGCAGTGGAACCGAGACTACTCTCACATTCTCTTGTTTTAAAGACAATAATGAAAGATTAGCTGCCTTCTCCAATGCACGATATGAAGAGTTGCTATCACCGAAAGAACGAGCTCCTTTGGGGAGGCTCTGGTCAACCGCATCCATCTTCGCTGATATATGTGATCGATATCCTGAGGCTAATCAGCGCGGGAAACTCATAAGCACTGCCTTTACTGCCCGAGACCTGATGCAGATTGTTGATGCATTGGAAGAAGACGGCCTTCTGCGATACTGGGGTAAGTCAGGTATCTATAGCTCGTAATGGAATCCGAGAATTACTCATGCATGGGGCAATAACTATTAGGACTATCATATGGCACAGTTCTTGGCGCTACGGTGGCAGCCATGTTCCCAGAGAGGATCGATCGAATGATTATTGATGGTGTTGTCAACTTCCACGACTACTATAATGGCTAGTATGTTAGATTTCCTCTAAAGATGATCTATCTCCCGTACAAGCTATCTGACTACCTTTACTGTTAGTGACATCGAAGTATGGGCGGACACAGATAAGGTGTTTTCTGCTTTCCTTCAACAGTGTGTTAAATCTCCAGACGAGTGTGCGTTAGCTCGTCCAGGCTTGACTGCCCCGCGCCTGGAAGAGTCGATATATAAACTCCTCGATAATATCAAGTACCAACCACTTGTGTTCAACGATACCTTGATTGATCATAGCGTTGCCAAAAACCTAATCAGACCAAATTTGTATGCTCCACCAACATGGCCACTTCTGTCAAAGGCTTTGGAAAACCTGCGAACTGGTAACTTAACCGGTTTCACGGAGAATTCTATAACTCTTTCTCCTCCCTGGGAGAATGGTATTCCGACAGAGTCTCCGTTTGGCATCCCATGCTCCGAGAAAGTGACAGGGCTGAACCGTCTAGACCAGATTCAATCCACAATTAAGTCACTTGATCAGAAGAGCAAGCTTTTGGGGCAGGTTGGGATACCTCTTGCGATGACTTGTACTCGATGGAAAACGAAGGCAAAAGAACGGTACTCCGGAGACTTCAAGGTCAAGACAAAATTTCCTATACTTGTGATTGGGAACACATTTGACCCTGCTACATCCTTCCCGTCTGCACAGAATGCCAGTGCAACATTCGATGGCAGTGTCCTACTAGAGCATGGGGGCTACGGTGTAAGTCTTCTCCAATCTTCAGGAGAATATTATCAATTCTGACTGACCAATTACAGCACACAACTTTGAGCCACGGCTCTGTATGTACCGGAAAAGCAGTCAAAGGATACTTTATGGAAGGTATTTTACCTAAACCGAATACCGTTTGTGAACCGGCTTACCCACCTTTTGCAAAAAAGACTTGGGATGACATATTGGACCAGATATGAACAATGGATGATTGAAGGAAGTAGATGATTGGTCAGTATTTCCAAACACCCGTGTATGAAATTACAGTCAGAGCCTCCTCAAGGGCTGCTTCACTCTGAGTTGTCAAGCTTGTCATTTCCTTAAGATCTCCTTGATATGCTCCTCTTGTTCTTATTTAGAATTTACAGAGTTATCATTATTGTTATTTTTCTAGAATGATTATTACAAAAAAAGTCATAATATATTGTGATCGAACAAGGTTATAGCCAGATATATTATACGGTAATAGATCATATCATGCTCGTAAAATATACCTACAAATGGAATGGCTAGGGATAGACTTAGCCTCTCTCCAGCCAAGGACACAAGGTAGATTTATGGGGCACAACTTCTTGCATTTAGTCAGTCGTGGTGCTTAATCCACCGCCCCATCCAGCGGTGATTTAGTTGCTTGGCCTCCTCGACCATGCCCAATTCCAACAGCAGCTGTATCGAACCTCTGACAGCCGAATGTAGAGATGAGCTTATCCAAGCGTGCGTTGGCGCTGTATGCTCGCCAATGAAGATGGTATTGTGCTCAGTGCGATGGTATGCTGGGATGTATAGCTTATGCTGCTCTACGTCTGGTCGACACCACGATGTCGCGCTGTGTTCATCCTGTAGCCAACATAGTCGCACAAAGTCGCCTGTGTATAATTCACGTGCCTGTTCGCCATGAAGGCTCACCACAGCATCCAAGACCAGTTGTGTGTGCTGCTCATCTGACATACTAACGAAGCGGTCGCTCCAATCACCTCCACGATAATGCGTTATAAGGCCTGGACGCGATTCGTTCAGACCATATGAAGGGTAGTAGAGAGCACCAATCCCGAGACTCTCGGGCATAGAATATCCTCCAAAAATGGGCCGCTCACCTTTTTCCCAGAAACGCTCCTTGAAAAGCAGTGAGACCTTGCAGGCTGACTTGAAGCGCAACCCAGTTTCGCCCATGGCACGGTCTAGTACTGAAGAGAATTTGGGCAAATCCATGAAGCGGGTCATGGTGAATGGTACGGTCATGATGGTGTAGTCATAGTCCTTCGAGTCGGAAGTACGGTTCTTGCCGGTCCCGGAATACCATGAAAGCCGAGTCCGTGTGTGATTGGTATTATCATTAACAGGCTCGAGTTTGGTTATCTTTCTGTTCAGCACCAGTCTGTTAGAGACATGTGGGATGAATGCATCTGATAGTCGGTTGAAACCACCGTTGATGCATTTCCACTCGGTCTCGCCGAATGCATCCTTGCTACCGTCTTGAGCCAGATTCGAATTATGAACCATCTCGTCCCAGAAGACATCATAGTCCGTTGAAGTCCAGATTGCATCCGTGACATTTTCACTCGCGTGGAAGACATGTCGCATCATTGACTGCTGGCTATAATCGTCCAAACCCTGATCCATCGCCCATTTATGTGCTCGCCAGATATCCTTCTGAATGGCTCTGAGAGTCTTTTCATCCTTAAGGATCCGGTTCATTTGCTCCTTGGTGTTGTTATATTCTGCAGTGACCAGTGGCGGCGGCCTGCCCAAGCTGGGATTTGCAGCAATTTCCCCTCGTGTTGGGACCCTGCCGTCGGGGTGCCTCCCAGTGCCTCGGGCAATAAGTTCGTTTGGATGGTGCTGGACCCAGGGGATGAATTCGATTTTCCACGTGCTGTTATAGCCGTTCATCTCGTTAAGCCACTCAGCCAGCTGAAATGTCATCCGATGGTCTGTATACTCATGGGTCGAGTTGTCGCTCTTGTAAGTGATAGTATAAGGTAGCCTCATGGGTCCCATCTCCGCAAACTCTTGAGTACCTCCAACGAAGACGGTGCGGAATCGACCCCCAACACGATCGCTGGCCTCGATGATCTCCCAGTTGTGGAAGCCAATACTGTCGAGCATCAACCCCGTTGCAAGGCCTGAAATCCCACCTCCGACGATGGCAACGGTGACATTTGGCTGGCGAGGAATCGTGGTGCCTTCGAGGGCCGCAATGCCATCGAACCATGCACCAAGAGCATCAAAGTCACTGAGCAGTGGTTTGCCATGTCTGGGGCCGTTTTTGCTGTTGTTCGGGGGGTATGTGGGGTGGGCCAGCACAGTTATGCAAAAGCACAGAGTAAGAAACAAAGGAAAAGCCATTCTCAATCACTCTGCAATACTGTCGATCCGGAGGCTTGGTTTGCTTGTCATATCCTTATCATCTTAGCTTCGGAGCCGTGTTATATATATACCTGAGACCATGAAGGGAAATAACTGGACATTCACATTTTTTGCCGACATTGCTACCAGGGGACCTTTCGAGGGCCGCCGTGGGTATCTCGTACACCTGCCCCCAAGGTATTGCAGGGCTCATGCTTTTCCTCTTTTGTTTGTCGTGCGGTATCTTTTCCATTTTTCTTTCTCGATCTCTTAAAGATCTTGTGCATCAAGTTCTGCTTTTTGCAGCTGCGGCATATCTCACGGCCGCGTGATGCTCGCCACCAAGGTCTCATTACATAGGTATTTCTAACTGTATAGCTAGTTGACCATAGGGTCCTCACCCCAGACAATGTCTCCATTAGAAAATCGACAAATCATAAACTGAGGAACTGGAAAGCTCTCCACATGTAGTTTCCCACAAGGTTCATGGTGGTATATGCCCATTACCTAGTACGCAGTATGTGAGCCCGTGACAGGACAGATAACTGGCATCATATAACCCACGTCACTATACAGAGCCCGGGGCATGTCATGAAAAAGCTGAGGCCCCGGGAGTCACCGACATAGAGGTAGTTATGTCGGCCAGAATCATTTCACGAACACTCAAGGTGATATCTTTGCTTTTGTTGCTCCAGGGGGTTGATGCAGTCACTTTCTTCTCTACTGGTACAACTGTGGTACTGGATGATACCCATTACTATGTGCCACCCGATGCTGTTGGAAGAATTCCGGGCAATGCAACAGGCGATTCCGGGCTTCTCCCAATTTCCGTAATCAGCATCAATGCCTCATCTGCCTTTGGCCTTCACGACTTGCAAGCCAGGATAAAAAGGTTTTCCCTAGAGGATGATGTGTTCCAGGTTGGATTCGCAGAAGGTAACATTTGTTCTGACCATGCAGCCGAGAAAAGAAAGTGAGGAACTTGCCTCCACTGACGACCCCGGTAGCACTTCACATACAGATTATTGGCCCAGATTCATCGAGCTTCAACAGTCGTGCCATTGGCAATCATACCGTACTATCGAGCAGCTCCCACCACAACGAAACGACTGCCCTTCCAGATGGCCCCTATGTTGTCTCTGCGCTAGGTTGCCTCCACCAGGTGTATCGGCTATATGCCGATGTTCAGAGCGCCTTTAGTGAAACGACGACAATCAACGCTGATGGCTCATTCTCGGTGCTTCCGGCAAATGTGCCCGGCCAGTCCCTTGCCGTGGCGGTTCCCTCGCGGCTGTATTATCGCCAGACTGCGCAAAAGCCTCTCGCGGGTGTTCGATTGGGGGTTAAAGACATATTCGACGTCAAAGGCCTGAAGACGTCCAACGGAAATCGAGCGTGGTATCAGCTATACCCTGCCGCAAATCGTACTGCGATTGCTGTGCAAAACTTGGTCGATGCAGGAGCTGTGGTGGTTGGGAAGATGAAAACGAGTCAATTTGCGAACGGAGAGACGGCCACTGCCGACTGGGTGGACTATCATGCGCCATTCAATCCGCGCGGCGATGGATACCAGGATCCAGGGTCGTCATCGGCTGGTTGTGCAGCAGGTGAAGGTACGTGCAGGCATATATCTCGATATTGTAGCAGAGCTGACGTAGAGATCCGCTCCCAAGCTGCCTATCCCTGGCTCGACATTGCCCTTGGATCCGATACTGGCGGCAGCATCAGAAGCCCAAGCCAGCTCCAGGGCCTGTTTGGGAACCGACCAAGTAAGCCTGGAGAGTCCGGATCCAGCTATCCTGCCGTAACCTGTACAGAGTAAATATTAACAGTTTCTTTTGCCAGGCCACGGTCTTGTGTCCCTTGAGGGTGCGATGCCGCTTGCTCCCCAGTTCGACACGGCAGGGCTGATCGCCCGCGACCCGAGACTGTGGGCGGCGGCTGCGAAGGCGCTGTACGGCGCAAAGATCAAGATGACCAAGTCGTATCCGTCTCGCATCCTCGCTGTGGGATTCCCAACGGAGCCTAAGTCAAACCTCGACGTCTTGTTGCTCGGGTTTATCGACAGGGTGGCGCGTTTCCTGTCGGCGCACGTTGAAGTCTTCGACGTCGCGGCTGCCTGGGCGGCAACTTACCCGCGCGGCTCCCCTCTCGCGGCTGTCGTCAACAACACATACGAGATACTGAGTGCAAAGGAGCAGGCAAGGCTGGTGAGAGATGTGTTCTATGCTGACCACGCTGCCGCGCATGGTGGGAGGCTCCCACACGTCAACCCAGCCCCTCTCAACCGCTGGGCCCTGGGCGACAACTCCAAGGCGACGATAGCGGAGGCCGAAGCGAACAAGACGCGGTTCATGGACTGGTTCAACCGCTCGATCCTCCCCTCGGGCAACACATCGTGCTCAGAGAACTTACTCCTGTACATGCCGAGGATTCCAGTTCCCAAATATCGCGATACGTACCGGTCCGGCCCAGCGCTACCGTCTGCGTTCAACACGAGCCGTATCTCGGTGATGAGTGGGACTCCGGACATGGTTATTCCCATCGGCCAGGTCGCATACCGGTCGGCTGTGACAAATCATACCGAGTATCTACCGGTTACTGTGGATATAATGGCGGCAAAGAACTGCGATGGAATGCTTTTCTCTTTGATAGAAGATTTATTTGTACGGGGGGTAGTAAATGTAAGCAATGTGGGAAGCACAATAGAAACTGGAATTGTATAGCCATGGAGGACGGTTGTAACCCAAATAACTACAAGTTGGTGAGTGAATTGGGGGGGGAGGAATACTTAAGATAGTCATCGACAATACAACTAAGGTCGTCTAGGTATACAGTGACGAGAGTGGGGTTCTTGTACCATAACTAGTTACTGGTTACGAAGACGCCATGGTTATTGATTAAACAACATTAAACCCAATGACTATATACAGAGTAACAATGACTGAAATAAAAATAAACACAACATATTAGAAATACCCGATTAGGCCAAATTCTCCCCACAGCGGGCGCAGAATAACGATCCACAATTTCAACCCGCGTGCTATCAAACGTTGCCATCGTACCTGCTAGAAAGTCAGGACTGAATTGTCGCCATATCCCGCAGAACAGGATGATGGAAGATATCTCGAACAGTAAGGTTGAAATTTTTCTGACGCGCCATTCCAACCAGCCGCATGGCCCCTATAGAATCACCGCCGATGCGGAAAAAGCTATCATCAGCACTGATGGTATCTGGGCTTATCTCGAGTATATCCGCCCAGAGAGCCTGAAGCAGTCGCTCGGCATCCGTCTGGGGTGGAAGCCGCTCGGTCTCAGACCGACTTAGCTGTGCAATGTCCCCTGCTGACAACGCGGCTCCAATCGAGCGGAGCCGTGGCCGATCTATCTTACCAGTAGCCATCCTTGGAACCACCTGCAGCGGGATGTAGAGGCTGGGTATCAAGTAAGAAGAAATACTGGCAGCTAACCGGTCATTCAGTCCATGTACTGCCCTTTTGACTAAAGTATCGTGAGGTTCGCTGGTGCTGCCACCAACAGAAACGAAAGCAGCGAGGATAAGATTTCCTACCCCTATGGGCTGGATTGCTTCCGCAACAACTTGGACGGCAGAAGAGACGTCATTAGGCAACTGAATCATGCTCTCTACCCAATGTTCAACCTCGCTTAGCTCCACGCGCTGACCACGAATTTTAACCTGTGTATCTTTGCGCCCCAGATAGGCAATGGACCCGTCTTCTTGATATTTGACAAGGTCCCCGGTGCGGTAAACTCTGCCATGACGTCCAGGATGCTTGCCAGGGACGCCTTGTACCAACCACGCCGGATCTTCTATGAAGGACCCTGCAGTCCTAATGGGATCGTTCAGGTAGCCCTCACCAACTAAAGGGCCTTCCAACCAGAGTTCACCTGGAGCGTGAAGTGGTGCTAAGGTGTCAGGGTCATCTGGCTCAACCACCCATGTGCAAAGTCCCACTCCCTGGCCAAGTCCACCATGAGGGTTTCTAGTTAGGTTTAATATTGTCGAAGTGGTGGTGCACTCGGCAGGTCCGTAAGCATTTATAACCGTCGTTCGATCACCAACCAGGGCCGCGTCCGCGTCAGAGGGTAGGACAACTTCTCCTCCCAGCACAAGTGTAGACAATTTTTCAAGCCCAGTTAAGTGTCGTGCGATAGAAGGGGTCAAATCAGCGAGAGTGACTCTGTATTTTTCCAAACAGCTAGAAAGATCATTTTGTCGCTCAGAGGCAGAAGGAATACATAGACATGCACCTATATTCATATTAGTACCTATGTAAGATAGGAATATATAGTGATTTGTTTCTGATGTTCAGCTTACCAACTGTGAGTGTATTTAGCAGGTTGGACCAAGCAACGTCAAATGCATATGAGGAGAAGTCAAGAACCCTTGAGCTTTGAGTATAACCCAAGCACGCGCGCTGGTGGGTAATTGCACTGCAAATATTTTGGTGGTTCAGCATCACTCCTTTCGGCGTACCGGTAGTTCCTGATGTGAACATAATATACAATAGATCATCCGGGTCGACACTTGGAAGCTCAATGTCTTCCGAATTTTGCTTCTCTTCATGATTAAGACATTGATAATGGTCGGGGCCCACAATAAGCACTTGGTCAATACCGAGGCTACGTCCCAATGATTCATTGGTCGTAGAACATAGACATATCTTTGCATTGACAAGCTCGGTTATTGTTCGAAGCCTTGTTTCAGGCTGAGATGAAGGATCAGTAAGAACCAAGGCAGCACCAGTTTTCATCACTGCAAGGGCCGAAACTGGGGTCCACATAGATTTCTCGAAAAATAGAGGCACAATTGCTCCCCGTTTGACACCATTGCTTATTAGCTCCTTGGCTAGGTTCGTTGAAAGGTGTTCCAGTTCCTGATAGGTTAGATCACCATCCCAGGCATTGATAGCCGGTGCAAGTGGTGTTTTATGGGCCTGCTGGATAATCAGTTCATGAGCGCATCCACTGACAACGCTTGGAACGACACTGTTCCATGTCCATATGTCTCTCATGTCTTGAGGGCTGGTGACTATCACATCAGAGAGCTTCTGGTAATGGACGCCAGAACCAATAATTTGACGGAGTACATGTTCAAATTGTTGAAAAATTCGAATGACCTCTACTTCTCCCAATATACCCGAATCGCATGTAACGTTTATAGACAAGCTACTAGGGTATATAGCGAACTTGACAGCCAATGGGTATTGATAGGCTAGCTCCTCTTCATCATCAGAGCCTGTGGAGCCTGGAGTGTATGTTGCATCAAGATTGTCAAGGCGATTGGTGAACTGTACGGTTGTCCTGAACTGGCAGCCAACATGAGTCTTGTCATTTATTGACCGGATTCGTCCAAGCGGGATTTTCGAGAAGATATCAATATCATCTGCTTGACATTGCACGATATGCAATAACTGATGGACAGGCATTCCCCAGTCCAGCGGAATTCGTACCGGTAATACACCAGAAGAACTGGTAGAATATTCCCCAAATAAGGCCTCGTCTGAACGAGTATTTGTGGCCGAGATAATTGCCCATGCCGCTTTTATAAGCGTGCTAGTGGAATATTCATTGCAACCCGCCCATTCTAACTGTCTCAGCGTCAGAATTTTCTGGAAATTGGTGGTTCCACATCGGGTGACACTCTCAGTAACTGGGAAATGAGAGCCTTGGGTGTTAGAGAACTGGGCACTCCAGAAACTTTGAGTAGATCGCTCATCGACTCCAGCAACATTCTGGAAGAAGTCACTGAAGAGTGAGGCATCATCAATATCCTCTGTACTGAGGGTTACAAGGTAATTGATTGCTTTTGTAAGGACAGTTGAAGCTTCTCGAGCTGTCCGACCATTGACATATGGTGGCCTGAAAGAAACAACGGCTTCCATATTATCTCCATCCACATTAACACTTAAGTTCAAGTCGTACTATTCACATACATTAGCCTTTATATATTCTCTGAACGGTGAAATGGCTGCACATACCTCATTTGGGTCCTCTCCGGTGCATGACTCAAACGATAGAGTAGCATCATCGCCACCCTTTAACTTATCCCCTCCACGGATCGATAATGTGGTGTTGAACAATCGCCCAGTAGAAGAACCAACATGATGTTGTATATCTGCCAAGGATGTATGCTGGATTTCTAGGTGGCGGATGGAGGCTTCAGACACTCGCTTAAGCACCTCTTTTGCAGAGAACTGGAGGTCAACTCGGCTAATAAGCAAATTGGCCAGGGGACCAACCATGACTTCCACACCATCCACGGGTGAATCTCTACAAGAAGAGAGGTAGCCAAAACAAACATCGGACTGGCCAGTGAAATAGGAGAGGAGCATGGCCCACGCTACCTGGAGGAAAACTGATCGGGTGATGCCTAATTTCTTGCAAACATCTAACACGCCAGGGATAGATTCAGCTGGAATTGGTATATCACCATGGGGTTCTTCGGCCATTTGGAGTAGGCGTGGGCTGGTGGGGAATTCTGTTGGTTTTACACCACCAAGTAGTTTCATCCAGGAAACAATTCTCCGTGCTTTTGGTATTTTGCTTATATAGCGAATAATATTACCGAATGGGGGGGCTGGTGCAGGAGTCGAGCCTGTGTAGAAAGCAATAATGTCTTGAACTAGAACACTGATACTCCATCCATCAATAAGTGTATGAACTGCATCAAGCCTGCATGCAACCTGGCCATCTGCAGAGGAACATATAGTGAATGAATGTTCCGGCTCATGGGTACGGTATGTGGGCCTATCCAATCGGTTCAGGGTCGAAACCGGGTCTTTATCATTGGTGGTTATATGGCTCACTCGAACGATTGATTTAGGAAGGACAATTTGTATATAACCACTGCCTTCTGGATGCAACGCAAAGACAGATTGCAAGATAGTGTGACGACTGACAACAGTCCTCCACGCAGTCTCAAGCTTAGAAGGCGATATCGCTGTGCCATCCTGCGAAATGCACCGCCAGATAGAGAATGAATCGTAGAAAGCTGCTTCCTTTTGAACACTTAATAATATTCCCTCTTGTAGCGGTGAGCAGGGGTAGACATCTGCTATATCTTGAGGGGCAATCCCCATACCAGGAAGCTGCTGTTTGAGGAACGTGTCTAGACCGGAGTAAGAGAGAGAAAGGGAGGGAAGATCGCTCAATGTGAATTCACGCTTCGAGTGGAGTAGCATTGTGGTCGCAGATGATAGTGTTTCGGCAAAATTCGTTAGCCATAACGAAATGCGATCCTGATGCTTCATTTTCTTATGCACCGTGAATGACACAACAAGACGATCTCCTTCCACGTGAGAATCAATCTCTATCAAAGTAAACCGGCGTGCGTTTTCGGGAACCTCTTGTATTAAACTGTCAGCTTCTCCCATGTGTTGGGGACGTTTGAAAAGGCCCTCTTCTGTTTCTAGCTGTTGATATCGCCCAGTAAAGTTGAACATCACCTCAACAATATCGTGATTGCTGAAGGCCTCTCTTCCAGATTCGCTGTAGTAGCGACATGCGAAATATGGAAGCCCTTTACCCGGAAGACCGTTTCTTCTATCTTTGACCATTCTTATAGTGTCCACAATAGAACTTGCAAGCGATATATCGATAGGTAATGGTTGTATTGTAGTGAACCAGCCTACCGTACCAGAGACATCTAACTGAAAATCATCTGATTGATTTCGTCCGTGGCCTTCAGTCCATATAACAGGTACTGAGCGTTCCGAGAAGGTATACCGGAAAGCATGAGCGATAGTCCCCAAAATAATGTCAATGGGTTCTGTCTGAAGGCTCGCATTGCTGTCCCCAAATAATTGAATAGTGAGTGCTTCATCGAACGTCTCAGTATAAACAACGAGATCATTGAACGTATTCTCTGATAACGGCATGCCCCAAAAGTCCCAGCCTGTTTCCGGCATGGAATATGGTAAGACAGAGAGGGGTGATAAACTGCGACCAACTTGAGCTTGTCGCCTGCACCATGCCCGGAAGGAAGATGTTGGCTGAGATATAAGACTCCCATGTTCAATAAAATCTTCGAGATCTCCCCAAATTATACGCCACGACACTAAGTCAACAACCAAATGATGGGCTGACAGAATAACCACTTGGGGGTAATTGGAGATATGGAACAGGTCACAAGCGAAGAGGGGGCCCTTCTGAATGTCCAAGCTCAACTGCCGCTGCTGACCAATTCTTGCGACATCGTTGTGACTAAGAACAGAATGTTCTTGATATGCATACGAAAGGGCATCATCCTCACTGCAAACTGTCTGCATCCAACGGCCAGTCTCAGTATCTTTCTTGAAGCGCCCCCGAAGTGATGCGTGACGTTTGACAAGTGCCTGAATAGCTCCTTCAAAAGCTTCAGGTAAAACTGGCTTTCCTAACTCGAGGACAAAGGTCTGATTATAATGATTCAGCCCATGTGGGTAAGAGTCAAAAAACATCTGCTGAATTGGCCCGAGTTCAAAGAGTTTATCTCCTTGCTCACTGTCTGCTTGGTCGTCGTCCTCTGCAGCAGCGTCACCGCTTCCTCTAACTTGACAAATGGAAGCAAGACGCCGGATAGTAGAGGCCTGGAGGATTTGACTAACAGTGACAGTAATATTATGGAGTCGACATTGAGATACTACTTGCATTGCTGTGATTGAGTCGCCGCCCAGCCGTGTAAAGGGCTTGTTAATAGAAGTTTCCCTCGCTGAAAGGTTGAGAACAGACATCCAGACCTTCTGGAGGATGCTCTCAACGCTATTGAGTGAGTCAGTTAATTCATCGCTGTCGGTATCGCTACGGTACTTTAGCCATAGGTATTCACCTGTTGAGCGAAGCTTCTTTCTGTCTGTTTTACCCGTGGCTGTCATTGGTAAATCCAAGATTGGGATATATGAAGTTGGTACCATGTACACTGGTAACCGCTCCGCTAACCGGTCGGACAGACCACTGGTAGCCTTCTTGACTGCAGATGTGTGTAGATCTTCAGAAATTTCTGTATCCCCGCCGCACACGAGGGTCACAAATGCCACAAGTATAGCACCATTGGAGCCTTCTGGATGGATTGTCTCAGCTGTAACTTGGGCTTTAGTGATATTAATATTGTGAACCTGGAAGTCAAGGTAAAGGCCGTCGAGAACATGCTGCTCGACCTCCCCGAGCTCAACTCGTTGACCGCGAATTTTCACCTGATTATCTTTGCGGCCGACAAAGATAAGTGATCCATCTTCCCGATACTGTACAAGATCACCCGTACGATAAAGCCGACCCGTGCGGCCCGTACAGCCTGGCTGTCCGTGTTGAGCTGGGAGGCCGCGCTGTAGCCAGGGTGGGTTGTGAACGAAAGCTGAAGCTGTTTTCTCCGGGTCATTGAGATAGCCTCCGCCCACCAAGGGTCCTTCAAGCCATAGTTCGCCAACAGCGCCGACCGGTACTAAGGAAGACGGGTCGTCAGGGTCAACGATCCACGTACAAGCGCCAGCCCCACGACCAATGTCAATGGTGGCGGCCTTGGTAATGTTCGATAAGGTTGCTGTAGGAGTACACTCTGCAGGGCCATAGACATTGATAATTGTTGTACCATCACCTGCCAGATGTGCATCGCTTGGAAGGACAGCTTCACCTCCTAAGATAAGGGTGGATAGGCGCGAAAGTACCGCCGGGCCTAAGAACCGGGCTACCGAGGGAGTGAAATCGACTGTTGTCACATCATACTTCTCCATACAGCCCGCCAGATCATTCTCCCGCTCATCCTGGGATGGGATACAAAGTGTCCCACCAACAGTAAGAGCATGCAGCAAGTTACACCAGGCTGCATCGAAGGCATACGAAGCAAAGTCGAACACCCTAGAAGCCCGTGAAAAACCCAGGGCTTTCTGCTGGTAGGTAATGGCACTGCACAGCCCGCGGTGGGTGTTTATTACACCCTTTGGCGTTCCAGTGCTACCAGAAGTGAAGACAACGTAGAGAATGTCTGATGGATCAACCTTGGGCAAGGAAGGAGATGCGGTGGAAGTAGAAGTTGGCCCGGGCGTTGCGGCTGAAAAGGATAAAATTTGATCCGGTCCGACGACGAGCACCTCCCGCTCGGGCAGCTTCAACCTCGACAGGTTCTCAGCGTTCCCGCTCGCGAGTTTGACCGCGACGGGTTCATTAGCAACGGATGAGATAATAATAGACGAATCAGCCTGTGCTGCTATGGCTGCAAGACGCTCATACGGCTGCTTGATATCCATGGGCAAACAGCCTCCCCCGGCTTTCATAACTGCGAGCACGGCAACTGGCATAAACTTCGACTTCTCAAAAAGCAGAGGCACAACAGTTCCTGCGATGCCTCTTTTAACCAGCTGATAGGCAAGGTCAGTGGATAGACCATCTAGTTCCTGGTAAGTCATATTACCGTCCCACGAGCAAATGGCTTGGGCCTGTGGGTTTTCCTGGACCTGCCGTGAAATCAAGTCATGGATACATGCCTCCGTCGCCTCGGGCACCTCCCTGTTCCATGTCCAAATGGCGTTTAAACCTGAGTAGTCGCGGACTAAGCTAGAGAGTAACACCTGCTCTGTGCTGCCGCTGGATAGCTGTCGAATGGAAAACTCGAACCCGCTCATTACTAGTTCCATCTTTTGCTTTCCAATCACGTTCGAGTCAAAACTAGCACTAATCCTGAGGCTTTCTGACGCTAGTTGGCATTCAATCACAAGAGAGTATGTGCTGAAGTCCTGCCATTGACTTCCAATATGGGAATCGACTACTTCGGAAAGGAATGGCCTATCCGTCGTCTCAGTCATTTCACTGCTAGGTTGGACCACCAGCAAGGTCTGGAACTGGCAGGCGATGGCCGTGCCTTGACTCAATTTGGAAATATGCTGCAAGCCAGTCTGTTCAAATGGTATCATTTCGATACTCTGACGTTGAATGGCATCTAGAAGCCTTTTACGGTCTTCGTTCCAATTCACGTTAACACGGATGGGCAAGGTAGCAATTGTAGGGCCTGCCATCAATTCAATATTAGGGACCGGAGCCTGACGTCCCGTCACAACCACGCCAAACAGCGCCTCACCGGAGTTAGCGCCATTCGCCGCCACAACAGACCAAGCAGCTCTGACGATTGTACCTGGAGTAAAGTCACTTCTACCCCAGGGAAGCTCTGAAATCGTTCGTACAATTTGACTGTCTTGCTTTGGTTCATATCCTGGCTTTACGGGAGGGAAATGCGAACCTTTAATGTCTGTAAACTGATTACTCCAAAATGCTTTTGCAGCTCCGATGTCACGATCTTGTATGTATTTGATGAATGGGGCCATCGTTTCTAAGGGCTGACAGAATTCGTTGAAATAGGCATTTTCTGCCTGGGACAACAGAAGGGGTATTGACCAACCGTCATAGAGAGCATGATGTATCTCCCATATCAAATGGCCAGGGTTGTCGGCAGCTCCTTCAAAGATTGTGAATCTTGTCAGGGGTTTCCCCAATCCCATTGTGTTTTCTTCGTTACCAGAATTGAAATTCGCCATATCATAGGGAGTTCCTCTTGAAGTCCATATCGCACCCTCATCCAGCACCACTTGCATGATACCATGATGAGGGAGACTGACGATACGTGTTCGTAAAATTGGATTCATTGAAACAACCTGCTCCCAGGCGTGGCGCAGCTTGTTCACATTGATACCAACTCCAATCTGGAAAACGTTCCTAGCCACATAACTTCCTTCACTTTTTGCTGTTAATGCTAGGAGACCTTCTTGCAGTGAAGTACATGGGAGGATGTCGATAACTTGCGATTCCTTGACGTTGCAAAGCCTAGAAGCGTAAGCCCGCGCCTTTTCCTTGTCGATTGACGAGCCCAATAAGGAAAATGGTAGAACATCAGGGCTGCTTGGCTCATTATCAATCGCTTTCACCGGCCGTATGACATCCTCATATGAAGAAAATGAGCCCTCTGAAACGATAGGAGATACACTAGACGAGTCGCTAGACCACAATTCCCGGCTGTGAACTGGTGGTTCCTTTTGGTAAACATCGATGGCGAACATTTTTTCTGCATTATTACCCTCAAGATTATCGATATTAACCGTGCTAGGCATCTGCCAGTCCCGACTTGAAATTTGCGGCTCTGATATTGTGACTTCCGGGTTGTTTGATTTTCCGACCAACCTTCCATCTTCATTTGTTTCCACGTTGGAGGCTAGCATATCGCCCGACTTCCTTTGACTAGCTGAAATAATAGACTCATCATTTCTTTCCATGTATGCCCCTAATCTTTTCAAGCCGTGTGGGGCGGCTGAAACTGCAATGTGTTTGAGCTGTACTAATTGCAGAAGCTCGGAGTTATCAAGCGTAGAGAGAGACTCCGAATTAAGGATAACGATGCCGGACTGCAATGCAGAGATAAGCCCGCGCCTGTTGCCCAGGAGTTCAGCCGTTGGAGCCATGCATAGAGTGCCACCGCATGTCAAAATGAACAAATTGCGCCATGCTGAATCCGAGAAAGATCGCGCAGGATTGCATATAGTCGTGTTACTAGTGAGTCCGAGCGCTCCATGCTGATATGTGGCGGCGCTGCTGAAATCCCGATGCGTGATGATATTATCTCGGCTTGCAAGCCCTGTCACGCTGTCGACACTATAGGTTTCTCCAGCGGCTTCTGAAGGGCTCACGACCGGTAGCTTACCAGACGGTTCCAAGGGATCATTTATACTCGACAACAGGCTATGATCCACAATCATAACATTGCCTTTCGGCAAGGATCGTGCTAGCTGTTCACTTTCCGAAGACGAGAGAATAGTGTGTGGGGAAATTTGATCTGCAATCTCTTGGAGGTGATCCCGATTTTGTCTGGTATCAAGGGCTATGGAGATACCCCCGGCCTTCATTACAGCCAGCATAGAGAGGGGCGCTAGGCATGTCTCGTCAAAGCAGAGAATCACTCTCGAACCCGGAGTCAACCCAGAATTTACCAGTTGACACGCCAGGATAATAGACAGCTGATCTAGCTGGAGGTAGGTCAGATGCCCGTCCCAGGAACATATTGCTGGAGCTCCTGGCTTCTCCCAGGCAATCCGCTTGATTAAGCTGTGGATGCAGGCCTCAACAGGCTCTGGTACAGCTCGATCCAGAGAGCAGGTGCTGTCGAGGGCATACTTCTCGCCCCAGTGTTGATTGTTGGTGTCATGATTGTTGTTGTCACAGTCCATTCCACGAAATCCACTCCCTTCATGAATTTGATATCTCATGATTATATACCCGGAATTGGTCAACAATTGCAGAGTACCGATAATGTAAAGAAGGTATGGAAAACTGGTCAAATGATAAACGATGAACGAAGTCTGTGGTTATGGTTATCGGTGGGAAGGGAAGGTTGGCGTTAACATTCCCCTTTTTATGTCAATCTACCCACCCACTATATAAATTACGATCCCGGCGGTCATTTGATGACAATGCCTTGCCATCCTTCCCATTGAACCTGACGTACCCTATGATAGGTAGTTTCACTGAGTATAGCTCGCAAGAGTGGATATACTCAGCGCCATTCGAGTTTAATTCCAGCACTACCTCATCACCTTCCAAATCTCGGTTAACCCAGCCATCCGATACCCCCTTAGCATTCGCTGGGATGTTTTCTCAAAGTTTTTGTTTTATTTTTATTGTTAC